GACCTTATTCCCATAAAGATTTTGTGGAATTACCTCAAGATTCAGACTAAAAATCCAACAAATGTGTCTCAACTGAAGCAGTTTTGTAGAGCGGAAGGGTCAATAATTCCTACTGAACATTGTGTTGGTCTGATTCACAGCTACCAAAAGCACTTGCTTGAAGTCATTGCTGCCAAAGAAGGTTCAAACAGCTATTACCTCCAAGGGTTCACCTACTTTTTCTTCCAGCACTGGGTGTGTTCAATGAAAACACGAAAAATTAGAAATGTTTGTGTTAGCAGCTTAAGCATATTGGGGTTGATTTACTAAAATTGAAGAGTGCAAAAAACCAAACAGCTTCCAGTTTTTCTTTTTTTTTTTGTCAAAGCTTAGTTGAACAAGTTAAAGGTTGAAGATTATTGGCTTCCATGCACAGCTGTTTGGTGCTGATTTTGCACTCTGCCATTTTGGTAAATCAACCCCATTATGTTTGTCTATTGTTTTGACTTAGATGAAGATAAGATCAAATTTTATTGGCAAATTACTGCAGAAAATAGTTAATTGCAAGGGGTTCACATATGTTTTCTTGATACTGTACATTGGAGCTGTAACAATTATAAATCTGATGTAACCATATATACAACTGCAAATAAAAGTGTGCATGTCAGAAAATGATCCACTCACAAACAATTTATCACCTTCCAGCATAGTGCCCCTGGAAATTAAAGTGATTGTAAACATTCAATTTTTTTTAATAGCAAACATATCATATTTACCTGCTCTGTGCAAAGGTTTTGTACTGAGCAGTCCCTAATCTCCTCTTCTCTGGTTTACTGCCTGTGCTCCTACTGCCTTCCAAATGCCCCCATAACAAACCACGTGCTATGGGGGCACTCTTGCTGGCTTGGTCCTGAGCTCCATGTACAGTATGGACTGTCTAATACTGTACTCCCAGTTGTGATGCAATGTGAGCAAGTAGTCAACACTGGTGGCCTCAAACCAGTGGCCACATTGTTTCTGCAATGTTATAATATCAAGTTTGTTTCTAATGACATATTCCACAAATGACTGGCTTTCATGATGGCTGGGCATATACAGGGAGGATAGAGGGCTTGCAAGGCAGAATTGAACGTCTGATAAAGGTTGTTGGGTGTGTGTTTGTAAACCAAGCTGAACTCTGGTTTGGATAAATTGGTTTACTTGTTTCTAGTAGTGACCTAGTCAGGTCACCTCTAATGGTCACCTCTAATGATTCTAATAATGAATAAATGAATCACGTCACCAATCCAATTCATTTTTTAGATGGCAGGTTAAAATTACACTGTTCAACAGGTAAAAAGTTTTGGGCATAAAATTAGCTAATCTTACATAATTTTGGGGTGCTGAAAATGAAAATGACCCTAAAAAATGTTGATTGGCTCTAGTTTCCATGATATATTCACCCATCTAATGACGTAAGCCATTCAAAATTATGATGCAACTTCAGCTGCATATTGCGCAATTGATACTGGTGACCAATAGAAAATTGCATGTATACTGAAATGATGCAATATTAGCCTTTAATTGCATCACTTCACTGCATAAAAGCTGCAGTATCTGTAGCTGATTGTAGTTCGACAGCGTCTTTACATTTCGTTTTATGCTTATATAGGCTACTCAGTAATGCCTCGAACTTGTGTGAATAAAGCAGATAATTTCTGCTATATCTGCGGTGAAATAACTTTTATCTCACAAAAAAGGAGGATAACAGGAATGATTAAGAAAGCCTACAACTTGTATTTTGGCTGCAAGATAGGAGACCAGGACAAGAGCTGGGCACCACATATATGCTGCAATTCTTGTGGGACGGCACTGGAGCAATGGTTGAATGGAAAAAAGGCATCTATGCCTTTCGCTGTGCCAATGATTTGGAGAGAGCCAACAGATCATGTTAGTAATTGTTACTTTTGTATGGTGCCTTCAATTGTAAAAGGGCTAAATAAGAAGAAAAAGTTATCTGTGCACTATCCAAATATTCCATCGGCAATACGTCCAGTTCCTCATGGAGAGGGGCTACCAATTCCTAAAGCACCAGAATCCTTCGTGGTTGAGTCAAGTGAGGAAGAACCTGAAGCGTGTAGTCACGTGCAGTTGGAAGAGATAGCCCTTTCCTCGAATACAAGAGAAAAGCCAAGAGAAGCAAAACCGACACAAACTGAAGACAAAACTAGTGAGAATCCTAAGTATTAAAATGATTCAACTTAGCTTATGGCTATAATTTTTCTTGGTAATCCTATGCAATATATTATGCCATTTAGGCTTTGTTATGTAGTCAATATCACTTGCTTTATATTTGTGGAAAGACATCTATCTATATAATTATTGTGCATTATGTAGTCATTACGCCTATAGTAGAAAACTTTCCGTTTACAGAAAAACTAGAGCCAATTGACAAATTTCATTGTTATATTTGAACTCAGAATGTGAAATTCATTAAGAAATGGATCCTTTTGTTTCCAAAACTGGCAAAAAATAAAAATTTGTTGAACAGTGTTATTGCTACACCAAGGTCTTCTTTACAAATATGCTTGGAAAACTGCAAATCATAATTGACCTGCAGCCAGGGCCAGAAAAAGACATCTTTCAAATGATGGAACATAATGCTTTCTACGCAAAATGTATGCAAAATATTGCCTGCACAATATTTATATCTTCACAGTGGTGAGAAAAGTGCAATTAAAAATGTGTAGCAACTTTTAACATCTCAATATGGTGATATAAAAGGACATAAAGATGTTCTTCAGCATGCTTTGATTATATGTAAGAAGTACAAAGTTTGTTACACAAGAAAAGGATCCTTGGTATGGATTGCAAGCTTACATACTGTATTTTCACAAAAAAAGGTTATTACCTTCTGCATTTATGTTACATGTATTCAGACTTCCATTGTAGTGTATGAACATGTCCCAGATACACATTGCAAGCCATTCTGGGATGTAAAGTCACACAAAATGCCCACTGTTCCTATTATGTGTATTTCTCTTCTCAATCCACTGCCAAGAATAATAGTGTTGTTTTTACAGGGATTGTATCTGTTTCTAACAATGATAATGCACTCAAGAATCATAACGTCAAGTTAAAACACACTCTGGACCACCATTCTTTATAACAGTTTATTATAAATAGTAAATATTTACTGCACTTTTTTTTTACATGAAACATATTTATTGCAGCATCTGTTGCCGGTAATACCAGCTACAACACAGATAAAATTTGACTTCTTCCATCACCTCTAAGACGAAAGTGTAATTTCAGCACTAAGTCTATCCTACCTAAACCCCTAAATCATTACCCATCATTCTTGAAGGAATGTATTTTGCGCTCTACCTCGCTTTACCTGACAAAAAAAAAGAACAAAGAAATAAATAAAACTGTAACTCTTCAACCCCCTGCCAAAAGCTTTTCACTTTGGCTACAAGAAAATCCTCTAATTCTTTTTATTGCATACCCATCTAGCAATAAAAGTGGTTCACAGGCATCTCCATTTGATCCTACATGTTGTTTGATTTAAGCATGCCCATCGCCTACATAGCGTGAGCAGCATTTTATATTGCTGACTTTTGGGGATGCAGCATAATAAAATTAAGTTTTCCTCTGTTATAAAATAGAGGGGCTAATGCATAAAAATGGAGCAAAGGAAAAACATTGTGATGTATTAGTAACCAATCAGGTTTCAGCACTTAATGTTTTTACATAAACAAGCTTATAGCTGATTGACCACTATGGGAGACGCTATTTCCTCCAAGTTTTACACATCAGCACTGTTGTTTGGCTAAAGTTGTTAAGCTATTCTCTATATCTCATGTGATTAGCCAGAAAAGTAACACAACAATCCCTGGTTCTGTAACTTATTTGGTGGCCTACGAAAAAAAATGTCTTAAGCACTTGACATGGCTTCACAATGATTTCTTTGAGCTCTGAAGCAACCTGTGACTTGGCAAATATTGTTGAACTACTGGCATTTTTTGTTGGGTTAGGGTTCAACAATAGCCATCAATCCACAGCTGGGTATACATTCAGTATAGGTAAATGAATTGCAGACAAAATGGTGGAATGTCTCTTCACTGTGCTTAAATGGTCTTTTCATCTAGAAAAGTGTTAAACAAAGTCCAGAAAGTTTTTTTAAATGAAATATAGATATAGGAAAATACAAATTCATTGACAGGGAAATTGAAGTGAGGTATGGTATTGCACGTTGATTGACAGCCAGGTAATTGATATCATTTCGTCCAAATTTGGTGCTGGATCATCCTTTCTTTTCATCTCAGAGTTCTTAAATGTAGGGTGTTAATTCTAGTTAAGTCTTTATAAACCTTTTTCTATTTAGATCAAGCATAAATTTTAAGTGGCTAAATCCACTTCATAATAATTACATGAAAAATTGGAATGTTAACCACACAGTCAATTCAAGCTGCACAATGACAACACTTCTTCATGATTGGGCATCATGTGGTACAGAGTTTTATGTTTTTCCCTGTTTCGTGCCCATTTGTGGGGTCATTTGCAACATAAAAGTCTTCTTACCCTAATCCATCGCTGTGCTATTAAACAGGGTAGAAAGTTCAAAAGTTTTCCTCCCAACTTGCTCCACAAACTTTGTCATCATCAGTATTTTTGGCATTGGGTGGTTTGGATTGTATGATGGTGTACTGATCTGATTAGCTTATCTGGGACTTGAAAAAAGGTGTAACTTGTTAGCCAGAGTTGTGTGGATTCGTAAACAGTTGGTGACCTCTACCCAAGATATGGATGCTCATTTTGTAAGGCCAGAAGAGCCCTTTCAGCAGACACACAAGCTATCCAATTTTGCCCTGAACAGCAATCTGGATGGTGGCATTTCCTATCTTGTGCTTCACTTTTAGAGAAGCAATAATTGTCTTTTTGTTTATTTTCTAGTTGAGCTCCAGTTTAGGCTACAAATTGATGAGAGTATCCATCCTGTCTAAACTTCCGGAGATAACACCATCAGAGGGACAGTTGTCCTATGCAATGTCTGGTTTCAAATAATGAAAGGCACCTGTGGAAAAGAAAGATGCTTAGATGATATCAAAACAATTTCGTTCACAAGCCAACCTAAACCATAGCTTGACATTGTCATATGTAATACTGGTATATCAAAGAATCGGGTTATATATTTTTATTCCGGGGACAAGTTTGACAAACCCCTCAGAATCTATGATCATATCCGTTAATGACTCTTGAACTGACTTGATTAAAGACATCTGTTTTTAATACAGGGCATGCCCGTGGTTATTGCATGTCGGGCAAAACCTTCTGTTTTACCTAATGGCGGTCAGGTCTCATGTCTCGGCACGTAATCACCTCAAGATGTCCTTGACATCACTTAAGCAAATAATTATGCAACAGATGTTTTTCAGAGAACAATCAACGAGCACCGGAGACAAAAGAGACTCAGTGAAAAAAGGGCGTCATCAGCCTTCTGTAGGAAGCCACAATGTTTCTTGTTTTGTGCATTATCTGATAAAAAGTCAGCTCACTGCATGTGAACAGTGCCTGCTGCCTGAATGGGAATAGTTAAAAGTTCAAACTTTAGAGACAATCTATGACTTTTCACATGCAATGCTGGAGATGACTATTAACGTTCCGCTTCTGAAAAAAGTTTAAATACAGAGTAAACCTTTGCACACACTACAGTATGTGTATTTGGACACCTGACCATCACACCTATATGACATCCCAATCCAAAATCAAGGTCATTGATATGGTGTTGTCTGCCTTCCCCCTTCTTTCCACATAACTTTGGAAAAAAGTTAACCAAGTTAAACTAGTGTTCAGTAGGGTCGTGGTCAGGGCTCTTTGCAGGCCACTCTAGTTTTTCCACACCAAACTTGTTAAATAATGTCTTTATGGAGCTTGCTTTTTGTACAGGGGCACAATCATGCTAAAACAGAAAGGGCCTTCTCCAAGCTGTTGCCACAAGGTTGGAAGCCCACGATTATCCAAAATGTCTTTGTATGATATAATAGTAACTGTACCCTTCTCTGGAAATATACACACTCAGTAATTTGGAGGGATGTCTACATACTTTTGACCATATAGAGTACTACCAATAACTTATTAAGTATACTCACTCTGTCCATATTGGCCATACTGATATCCCGTTACAGGCTCCATGCTATATCCCGATGTGCTGTAGGTTGGCGGACAGTATGACTGAGATGTTGATAGACTATCCAAACTCTTCATATGTTCTAGTCTCTGGCTACAACTTGCTGATACAGCAGTGGTGGGTTCAAGACCCCCGGTTAGTGGAGATAAGGCATAGTCAGTCTGTGGCTGATGAGGCACTCCACCATGGTTAGTCAGAAGACCCATTACCTAAAGGATAAAAAAAAAATTATGTCAGTTAAAGCCTATCAAGTCTCAACTCAAATGTTATTTCAAGCTGACAAATCCATCATTAAAGGTGTGCTGGGTAGAGTTAGTGTGGCATGATTACTAAATTTTACCATTTACTTAATTTTAATGTGCTATAATTGCAACGACTCCAATGTTGAGTGATTGTTTTGATGTCAGATAACATATTATTAATGTGTTGTCTGACATTCACAACTGTGTTAATAAAATGTCAAAGATAATAATTCAATTTTTTTTTTTTAATAACATATCTACCAAATGTTAATAATTCTGTTTTTAATATTTCATCAGGGTTATCGTGCTGCTGCTCTTGCTGTGTTTAAGTAATAACCTTTTACAGAATAAAGTACCAGCCATAGCATATTTTTCTCATATAACTTGATGTTAGATTCTCTCCAGAAAAAAAACATTGCACTGACTTTACATTGACTCATGGGCACTAAGTAGCATTCAGCCATCGTAAATATTACATAAAGTCATAATTAAAAAAAAGCTAGAATGATTTTTCAGAAGGTTAGAGGTTGTCATCTTATGTACATTGCAAAGCTACCTGTATTGAATTAGCATCTATTGTAATTGTATTTCTCAGTTTATGTCTGTTTAGAAACTAAAGGAGTGGTAGCCCCAGGCTAGATGACCTCTGTATTCTTTCTTTTTTTTTCTGATCATCTTGACCTTTTCACCTCAACAGAGAACTAAGGGAAGGGCACGGTCACCTTGGTTTAATCCGCCATACTAAACTAGTGAGTATCTAGTTAACTTTGTTTCCTGTTCCAGACAGGCTCTTGTTTCCAATGTGAAAGATTGAACATCAGTGTTTGCAGAGGCAGACCTCTGTGAAATGCTCTCACACACTTGAAAGATATCTATTAAGCTTTGGATTGACAATGTCCGTAACCAGGTTGGACATTGTAATGGATATGTGTTCCTGAGGACTTCCATAATGTAATAAGGATCTATAGCACTCTGTGAACTATTCCAACCCATAGCTTGTGCTTCTTAATCTTCCATGGCTTCATCCTTGCTCCTTCCAACTTAAATTCTCTGTCACCCAACAGCTCATTTTTGATACTATTCACCAACTTGTTTTTTTACCTCTCTCTAGCGGTAATATTTTTTTTCCCATTCCTTTTGCTGCATACTCCAAAATATAAAATACATTTTAAAAACTCTCTGACAGGTAAAGGAGAAGCCCCTGAAAAATCTGATTTTGATAGACATACCCTTTAAAAATATACTTTATAGAGCATTCAGCCCTGTGACAGGGGGAATGCATACGTATATGATTGGTTGCTATGGACAACAGATTGTCTCTTTAAGTCTTCTTTGTGGCCACATTTTCTAAGGGGTGAAGTGCAGTAAACGGGTGAATACAGACTTTTTTAAAGCGGAACATCACTCACTCAATCAACACTGACTATTTTTAATCCTTTGCTTCTAGCTTTAGCAAATAAATAGGAAAATATATCATATGCACTTGTTTTTAACTTTTATTACACTTCTTCAGTTGCTTCCTGGTTTTCTGGCTAGGCAAATTATGTCATATATCCCAGGAGTCTTCAGGAGAGGAGGAAGGGTTTTCTCAGTTGAGCACACCCTCCTGATACATTCCTGACCTAAGGCCAGATGGATTCCAGGAAGTAAATACTACATGAATCATCCACCCTTTTTCAAGATGGCCAGGGACAGAAATGCTAGGGGGTGTTTTCAAAGTGATTTCCCAGCAAAATAAAGCATGAAGACATGGATGGATGGGTGAGTTTGCTTTGAATAATAAAAATGAATTAAGTTGTGTTTTTGGTCTGTGGTGTTCAGATTCAGTGTAGTTCCACTTTAATAAGGGACATGTATACAGCAAAGTGTAGTAGCCCAGAGTAAACAATCATACTTCAATCTACTGAGGTCTTTCCAGTATTCCTGCCAGTAACATTTCCCTGTACTTTCCTTACTAAAAAGAGTTAATGTTAACTTGATGTGTTCAGATCATATTGACCCTAACACATGTGTAGCGTGTAATTTACGGAAGCTTTCACCACAGGAAGCTGGACACGTTGTCCTGAAGATGTCCAGAGCATTGCTCTATTGTAATGTGAAACAGATGGAGGCCAGATCTCCCAGTTCTAAGAAAAATGGTGCCACCTGCTCTGTGCTATTACTGTTGAGTGGAATGGCTGTGAATTCCTTAGTCGTGTTCACACGGGCATGAATCAAACTATGGCAGATTCTATCCCCCATACTTTTATATGAACATCTCCATCATGTGGGTTTAATCAGCCTTATGTCTTCATGGGATTTCTCCAACAAAGACCACTTATTGTAAAATCCTTCTACAAACAATGTATGTGGGCAATCCCATCATCACGTCTGTGATAGCTCTTCTTTTGCATACATATTAGGGCTAATTAACTAAAGTTAATCAGTCATTTGACTTATTTACTAAGCTTAGTGAACATTCACTTTGCTAAGTGAACAATCCGTACTCATAAATGGATCAGTAATTGGACCATTCCAGACTTGTATTTATAAAAGCAGGGCAAACAGCAGTGATGATGTGCGAAGTCTAAACAGATAACAGGTTTTTGTTGACCAATGAGACACTTTGCGATTGGTTTCTCTGCACTTTGTACATTGCTCCTCATCTTAACAAATACGTGGTGTTGTAGAGCTATATACAGATATTATGTAAATGTTCTCTACAGGAGACTATTTTGAAGGACAATTTTCAGCAGATGGCGGTATTCATAATGTTTTCTACTCCCATTACTAGAGAGCAAGAAGTACCATGGCTATTATGTCATATGCATATTTACAAGATTCTACATAGCTATGTTTATGTAAATGCATGTCACAGCATCCTCTATCCTTTCTGACCAATAGGTAGGTAAGAAGGGTAGGTAAGAACTAAATAGCTCACTTAATGTATATGTTTGAACTGCAATTAACTGCCCAAAAAAATAATTCTGTTCAGCCAAACTTTTAATCCAGATGTCCCTGCCAGATACTACACAAAGCCAAAATCATTTACTTGTTTCCATTGCATCAAAGAAAATATGTTTGGTAAAGACTGTGATTGGATAATGAAGAGACAGAAGCTCACTGCTGAGGTCATCTTCTCCAATTAACAATGTAATTTTGTTATATTTACAAATTCGCTGTGCTATAGACTAAAGTTTAGTTTGATTTGCTAAAGACAAGGACAAGACACTAAAAATACATTAAATTTTTTTAATGAATATGAAACTTGGATAAATGGAGGTCTTTTATAGCTGCTTAAACTTATATGCTAAGAAAATAAAATTTTGAATAAGACACAAAAAGGTTCTTCTCCAGAGGTTATACGGTGCTCTAAAGGTGACCCTTGGCCGACAGTCCACTAATTTCTATGACCAGATAAAAAAGGGTACCACCTGTATAAGAAAATATTAACTGTTCATTGTGATATTGTCACTAATGACAGCTTTTATCAATACTGGTTGGGTGGTAACTATGTCAGATGGAAACGCTATCCACAATGGTAATCCTTTTTTTTTTTTAAAAAGGATAAAATTGATTAGGTAAAATGGGGAATTGTAAACTTTTACATTTGTTTTAATGTATGCACACATTTGTCCAGGTAACAGAATTAAATACATTTATAATTTATGATTGCTTGGATTCCAGCGTTGTGTGATCTGTAATCTGCTGATCAGAGAGATCCAAATAAATAATTCTAAACATAACATTTGCAGGACAGCGGAATGGTGATTATAATGTAATGCCAGTGATTTGGTGGCAGTGACTGCCATTTTTACAAAAGACCAGTTTGAGCACCCTTTGGGTTTTTAAATAGTGACTTGAAAAAATTGTAATAAAAAAAAATGGCAAAGTTCAGTGTCCAAAAGTCAAGCTAGTTGTTATCAGTGCTGTATTTGCTCCAGTGTGCATACTTTTCTTGTTTATATATGCCAAAATTTAGTGACACACTCCCAATCCTTCAAACTTCACAGCCTACTAAACATCCCAGATGCTGATGAGTAAACCAGAGGGAACGCTACATCACTTTAATGGTCCTTGCAGGTGGTTTCATTTTATTTCATTGTGAAAATATGAGCTTTCCCAATCCTTGCCTGTCAGACATATTTAAAAAATTAAAATAAAAAAAACTACATAATCTTTCCTATGAAAGAGAAAAGCATCAATTGCCAAAGGGTGTTAAAACTCATGTGAGAATTTTGTAGTAGAAATAAACAGAGGGAATTTGAGCAGCTGAAAATCTCCAGCTTGTCCCTTTTATAACTAAATCATCTTAGGTATCTAAGTATAGGAATTTAGGTATTTATACTGCTATTCTGTTTTAATACTCATATTGGCTGTGGTCTATAGCACACGCCTTAAATGGCCAGTGGACACAAAGTGCAGGTTCCCCCCCATGCCACAAAAAAAAAATTGTGTGTATGTGTATATATATAATATATGCTGTATATATACAATTTGTTTCACACAACCTACCATACACCACACTGAAATACAGTAATGTAACCTGTGTAACTGCCATATAAAATCTGGCTGTAAATATTAGATGGTGGTCAAATGTGCTGGTAGAATCTGTCACCTGAAACATTATCGTATAAATTTGAAGATCAAGGGGTCTATTTACTAAAATTGCAGAGTGAAAAATCTGGTGCAGATTTGCATGGTAGCCAATAAGCTTCTAACTTCAGCTTTGACGAAAAAAAAAACTGGAAGCTGATTGGTTTCTATGTAGAACTGCACCAGACTTTGCACTCTCCAGCTTTAGTAAATCAATCCCTAAGACTGCCAATGTTTGCATGTCTATTTCTAATTTTGACACCTGTTTACTCTGAGAGGGGGCAATAATGACCATCTGTATTCAACATGGTTTTCTGCACCTGAGATCAGTTGGTTGTAGATGTCTGATGTCATCTGCTGTTGCCCATAGATATGCAGATATCCTTGGAACATCTTATATTTATGATTACCCTGAAGGATTAGTGAAAGGCTGGCCATAGTAACCTTTAATAGAATTATTAATATGAAATCATCTGTTGGTAACATCTCTCAGTCTATATTAATTTGAGTAGTAGTAATGTGTACTAAACCGACATCTTTAAAATATATTTGTAAATTATTTTTACATTTGTCATGTTGGTTTGGCATAAGTCAGCATTTATTTTAGGCTTATTGGTCCTTTAGGTATCAAGGGATAAATGTGTTATAATAATACATATATTTGTTTTTTTCTAAAGAGATTTTACAGAACCACAGATAGGTCCGACCAATCCGATTAATTAGTAGCTGACCCTTGATTTCTATAGCCTTGTTTTATGTCATTCCTCAGCATCAGGGAAGCAGGCTGTGCAGTCTTAAAGCCATTCAATCCTACTGTGTCTTAAAGGCTGGAAAGTTTGGGCTTTCTGCAAATACCCAATAGAAAAAGCTGAAACTTAATTACACTTACTGTTAGAAAAGGAAGGTTTTATGAGTTTTTTGCCTGTAGGCAGTAATGTTTATTCCATTGCATTTTACTATGCAACCTTTTAACTCCAGAGTCTTTGAACTTTATATTTTCACAGATTTATCACTGTCTAGCAGAGAGCTGCTGCAGCCGTCTCAAGACTCTAACCTCACGTAGACTAGAGGGAAGAGATATAAGTCGTTATTTTTGCTCCCCTTTGTGCCATTAAAATCTCATTTTCTGCCTATTAAGATGCCCTCTCAGTGCTAGAACCAGGCTGATGAGTGTGTAATTGGTATAATTGTCTTTTCACTTTTCATTTATGTCATTCTCAATATCCTTCTGTTTCCTCTCACTGCCGAGAGGAAGAAGTGTTCGGGGAGGATTCATAGCTGTGAAGCTGCCCCCACTTAGCCCCACAAAGAGGCCTGATTTTAATTATAGATTGCACGCCGTTCAGTGAAACTATTAGACACCTGAATATTAGTCCCTCTGATATAATAAAAAACCCTGTGTTTAGACACACATTAACAATGTCAAGCCAACCTCAGGCAGATGTGGACCGTAGTAAATTCAACCAACCTTTTGACACTCAATTACCAAGTCAATTTATTTCAGTGCAATTCCCAGATACAACAACCCAACTCCTCTGAATGAAAATTAACAGCCTAATTATTGCTCATATAGTTCCAAGGCATAAATATTCCTCTGGTTTGTAAATTTGAATGTGTTTTAACAGACCACTAAGTCCAAAAGCCAAGAGCCTTTTAATAAAAAGCATCCAGTAACACCCACAAATATGTTCCCTAAAAATATTGCTTACATTATAAGAACATCATACATTTGATGCTGTATTTACAATTGTTGCATAGCTTAGCGCAAGCTACTGTGCCTTATCCTCATTTATTCAGACTTCTGGCATGCAGTTGTAGGATCCTTTCCTTAAAATTGTCCATCAACCACTAAACCAGGTTGCTTGATGCAACTTTGGTGTCATCTTGTCTTTGTTATGCTGGTTATACATGTAAAATGCCAAATCTGTATAATGTAGCCATTCCCATGTCAGCACTGATTGTCTGGACTTGTCATGCAATAAACATATACTATATTCCCATTGCATCAAATAGAATTGTCATAGCCTGTCATTTACCAATGATTTGATAGCAGTGACTGCAATTTTTACAAAAGACCAGTTTAAGTCTTTGTCCAGCACTGATTGTCTGGACTTGTCATGCAATAAACATACACTATATTCCCATTGCATAGAATTGTCATAGCCTGTCACATTAGTGACCCTATATTGAGAAACTGTTAGTAAATACGGGCACGCTTTATTCATCTATGTGACGTGCAACAACTGTACTTCCTACACTGCCCTGTGCCTAATGAATAATAATGTGCCTAATAATCTGCAATAGTAATCCTTTTTCTTATAAAAAGGAGAAAATTGATTTGGAAAATGGTGAATTGTAAACTTTTGAATTTGTTTTAATCTATTCACACATTTGTCCAGTTAATAGAACTAAATAAATTCATGGATCATGATTACTTGGATTCCAGCGTTGTGTGATCTGCAATCTGCTGATCAGAGAGATCCAAATAAATAATTCTAAACATAACATTTGCTGGACAGCGGGATGCTGATTATAATGCCAGTGATTTGATAGCAGTGACTGCCATTGATTACAAAAGACCAGTTTAAGTCTTTGTTATGCTGGTTATACATGTACAATGCCAAATCTGTATAATGTAGCCATTCCCATGTCAGCACTGATTGTCTGGACTTGTCATGCAATAAACATATACTATATTCCCATTGCATCAAATGAATTGTCTTAGCCTGTGACAATAGTGACTATCTTGAGAAACTGTTAGCAAATACGGGCACACTTTATTCATCTATGTGACATGCCAGGACTGTACTTCCCACACTGCCCTGTGCCTAATGAATAAATTAGAAGCAAACAGTAACTAATAGAAGCGGAAAAGGTTGCTATAGAAGATAAAATTGAATTTGCTTTCACGCTGTGTTGTAAACAAATAATGTTTTTTTCACATTTGTTATTTCTCATGTTGCAATTTGTGCCATACGGTTAATTCAAACTGTTTGCCTCATGGCTACTGTCATGTTTCTTGAAAAAAGTCCATATTATTTGGGGGAAAGGAAAACACTTGAAAGACAGCCTATCAGCCCTGATGTTTGAAGTAGTAAGTGCGGGGGTGGAGGAGGAAAAAGGGGAAGGAAATTTGCAAAACAAAATCATGTGGCTTGTATAAAGAGCTCTTTATGGTTCGAATTTGGCAATTTCTTCCTTTCTTGCCTCAGGTGCTCAGCCTGCTTGGTTCTGGCATGCAGTTAAAAGAATGAAAACAGTCCACTGACCTGAGGTGAAAGGCCATTGCCAATGGTGGGGTTCATGGGGTTGGAAGGCCCGGATGGGGGTACAAAGCTGTCTGTGTAGCTGGAAAATCCATGGCGGCCGCTGGGCAGGCAGTAGGCCGAGCTGTTTTCAGGGTTAGATGGAAGGCTGCTTTGGTGAACACTGCTCGGAGGGAGAGGCTGAGGCCTGTGGAGTGTGCTGCTAGGATCAGAGACAGCTGCAAGTAAAACATATTCATGTTTAACCTTTATATAAGAAGCTATTGCATGCGTAAATAATCCTAAACTGAATGAACACTTTCCTTATGTCCTGTGCAATTGCGGAACACATAGCACTACCTTGAAAATGTTGTACTCCTCAAATCCCTCCACACATTCATGAAACTTGACAATGCAACTTACACTTAGCAAGCACAGAATGATATCATGACAATCAGACCTCCTTCTTGGTTCAGGCCTGCTCAGCGAAGGAAGAGGAATGGCAATACACAGCAACAAAACACTGTAATATTTGCTGCATGCTTCCTATATAAAAAGTAGATTTTGTTCATCATAACAGTTTTATGTTACAGTGTATGGCCATTTTAAATACTCTGGGGTTGATTTATTAAAGGAGCAGAGCATGGGATTTTTCCCTTAACTTAGTGAACTTGGAGACATTTCACATTGCAAAGATACCCAATCAGGTGGAGGGAAATTTCAAAAACAGTATTTTGCTGGCACATGATTGGATGAAGGAAGTCAGCAGAGTTTTAACTCATTCACTAAGCTATGGGGAAATTCCCTTGGAAAGTTACAATTCACATTGCTAAATGAACATCCTATTTGTCTCTATTAACCACTTTAGCTCTGCCACATAGCAGAAATACTGCTACAGGGCAGCAGCTGTGTGCAAAATCACGTACATATATGTGATTTTGCATTTCCGGGTAAGGGGCACGTGCGAGGCCATACGTAGCCGTGGCTGTCAACCACCAGGTCCCGGCCAGTGATTACTCGCTGGCGCCCTGTGATTGCCGAGGATCTCTGACGGGGGAAGAACTGTTAGTAAACAAAACAGTTCTCCTCCCTGTCAGCGCCTGCACACTGCTTTGCATGGCTGTGCACAGCATAGCCATGCAAAACAGTGTGCTTACAGTGAAGCACAAACACAGAGCATAATGTAAAATGGCACACAGCACACAGTTAACCCTTTGCTCGCCCCACATGTTAACCCCTTCATGCCCAGTGCCATTAGTACAGTGTCAGTGCTTTTTATTAGCACTGATCACCATATTGGTGTCACTGGGGATCTGTCAGTGACACCAAATCAGTTCCCCCCCAGTGTCGGAATGCCTGCCATAGTCCCTCATAAATCACTGATCGCTGCCATTAGTAGTAAAAATGTAAAAAGAAAAAAAAAAGCCCAGTATATATACTGCCATTTGTAAATGCTATAACTTTCACGTAAACCAATTAATGTACACGTATTGGGATTTTTATTTAGAAAAGACATGTAGCAGAATACATTTTGGCCTAAATTTATGATGAAATTTGATTTTTAAAATTTTTTTACTGGACGTGTTTAATAGCAAAAAGTCAAAAATATTGTTTTTTTCTCAAAATTGTCGGTATTTTTTTTTTATAGCACATAAAATAAAAAACACACAGGCAACCAAATGCCACCAAAAGAAAGCTCTGTTTGTGGAAAAAAAGGAAATAAATTTCATTTCGGCGCAGCATTGCATGACCGCGCAATTGTCAGTTAAAGTAACGCAGCACCGTAACGCAAAAAATGGCCTGGTCAGGAAGGGGGTTAAATCCTCAGGAGGGCAAGTGTTTAAATCAACCCACTCAGTTCTTAGAAATGTTTTTTAAACAACATTAGGCAAACTACCTGTACAGTTACATAATGTGAATAGTTCAAACTATTTTTAAAGCTCTTTACAAGTACAATGTGCTTCTATATATGAATTATTATTTATTAAAATAACACAACAGTATCATTAAGGAAGGCATCATCAGTTTTATAGGATACTTATTATTATTATTATTATCTGTTTTATTTGATAAACCTTGGCAAACTTTATTTGCTGCAACAGATATAATTGACAGATAGGAAGGCGTCTTAATCTACCTTGCGGTATTGAAGTAGGCTGGTACGATGTCTCCGATAACTGGTAGGTTGGCAAAGCTGGCATGGCTGCAGGTGGAAATGCCCCTGGGATCAGGTGGTTAAATGCCATTAGTTGATTGGCTCCTGCTTGCTTTCTCCACCTGGCACGACGATTACTAAACCATACCTAAAACGAAAAAGTTCAGAGCCGGTCAGTAACAGTGAAAAAGCAGGCCGGTTACAGCCACAGTCTGTCTGTATCTATATATAACAGCATATACTCAGGAGCAAAGTAAAAAAACCTCATGTTAAAAATAAATCAGATATCAATTATGTCCTCCATACATTGCCAAATCGACTTCAGATTTATGTTGTGGGAAACAAAGTAGAAAGAAATATGAAATACAATATATTTTATAGTCATACGTTATTGAAATTGATCAATGAAAACCACTGGGATTACACCGTTATCCAAAGTCTGTGTATAACATTTTTCTGAGTTAAAGGAAAGCTGGAATAAGCAAGTAAGGAGTAAGCTACAACAGACTGAACCTTTTTTGTGATTGGGTATATGTACCATGCCACACAGCAAATATGTGCTTTTATAGCTCATTGAACGTTCAGTACCTGTGATTGCAGACTGGCCATCTAAAGATTATCCAGACAGCTATGTAATACAATGGCCTACCTGTCTGGATGCAAATCAGATGAATTGTTTGGTAGGCCATTGCACTACAGTGTTTTTGGTAACTCTGTAGGAAATAATACAGATTGTCACACAATAAATGTTATGAATATTCCTTTCAATTATCCAATTATGTGAAAATCAAGTTTCAGTTTACTTATATCATCAGCACCTGATTGTATAATTGAAGTGAATATTCACACAATGTATTATGTGACGATTCTCAACTTCTTTAGTAAATCAGTCCAATTATTATGTGTCCGCCGCTTTAGGGGTACATCCAACAGATTTAGGAGGCACCACTTTTATATTAAATGAAAGTAAGAGCAGATTAGTAAATCATGTTTAGAGAAAACTAATTTAGACTGGTTGGAGCAAAAGTAGAACAGATGCCTGTACCAACCAGTCAAGAATAAGCTTTCAGATGAAGCAAGGAATCAACACGTAATCTATTGGTGGGAGATGCTGTTTTTGCCCCATTTTTTTTGTAATGCACCTCCTCTCTCAGAGGGACATGGGACAACATAACACAAAGCAGGGGTACAGAGGTAACATATGCCATTTTAAAAAGATATCATATTCCAAGGCCCTAAAGCATAGTACAATATCATTCTATGCATTACACCTTGTATTCTTTTTATATACAGATTTGAAGGTCCCGGGTTTTTTATAGGTCTGTGGCTGCTGCCTCTATCCCATTACTAAAAATGTTTCAAGCAATTAAATTAAAATCTTCCTGACTTCATAGCAGTTTAACTGGTTCACTGCTGCTCCTGTAATGTGATGCACTGTGCACCTCTTCAGCAGCAAGGGAGTCCTGACTGACAGCGATATGCCGCTTCATGCTGAGCTCAGTTAAAGACCCATATGTTAGATGTTCAGGGGAATTTGTTAGGCTGTAGATCATGGTAATAGTGTGACAGGTTATGAGTCTCTGGGGATCTGAGGAAGCCATAAGGAATGTTGTGAAGTCAGAGGGTTAAAGACACATTACAACAGCTGGAGAAAGGCTCCTGCATTTGCTTGGTAAGGGTCATTGACTTGCAAAAATAAATGCTCAGTGAAACACAACAATGCTTATTACATCTGTTAACATAATGAACATACTCCCGCATGCATTATTTTCACATCTTCCCAAAATCAAGATATAGGAAATAATACAATCAAAATAACCTGTTGGTCAGGTCAGGAGGGTTTAGGAGAGACCTTTCTCATTGGCGTACAATTATACTATGGGGTTTATTTACTAGAGCTGGAGAGTGCAAAAGCAGGCTCACTTCTGTATAGAAACCAACCACCTTCTAACCTAAGCTTGTTCAATTAAGCTTTGGCAATAAAACCTGGAAGCTGATTGGTAAGTCTACTTTTGCACTCTCCAGCTTTAGTAAATAAACCCTATATGACTGTGTGGATATCAACTGTGAAACTGTCTAATCTATTTGGAGAAATCCAAATAGCCAATCAACTGCATCAAATTTTCATGGTCTAAAAGAAACTTACCTATGACTATGTTGAGCAAGATTCCAATAGATGTCCCATCTGTCATTGTTCTACACATGACTAATGACAGATTATGATGGTCATCCTGATTCACAGTGATGGTTCTTTACAATTGCAATATTTCAGGTTTATTGGTGAGTATCAATGGGATAATTATTGATATAGTTGCAGTTTACTGCCAATCTGCCCTTAGTACCTTATGCTGAAAATTGACTGATTGTGTGACTTGTGTAATCCTACAGAAGACATTTCCTAAGTACCTGTACTCGTGCCTCAGTAAGCTTCGCTCTTTGAGCCAGTTCTTCTCGGGTATAAATATCAGGGTAGTGAGTTCTTTCGAAAGCTCTCTCCAGTTCCTCCAGCTGTTCTGCTGTAAATGTGGTTCTACTTCTCCGTTGCTTCCTCTTCAAGGGTAGGTCTGGTTCAGAGTCAATATCAGAACCTTCTTCAGACTGAGGTGATGAGGGTGCTGGAAACAAAAAAAAAAATTTTATTAACACAGAACAATGATTGTCTTGTGTTGTAAACTATTATTTATATCAAATAAATCTTCATTATAATACAGAATACTAGATACTGTTATAAAATTGACATTTTGATGTATATCTTCTAGTCCTTTGATCTTTAATAAAATTTGGTAGGTTGAAAGATATGAATCAAGTTTGTTCTTTCCAAGCCATGGGAAAATACACAGATTTTGTTGATTCTTGGCTATCTGTGTGCATGGTCTGACAAAACAAACAGGAACTTTGTAGTAAAGCCCAGAGGAGACAGCCTAGCATCTCAGGATCTTGCTCTATGCTATAAAATACACACTAGGGATGGAAATTGGCCCCTGCTTATTCATCAATACACGCTGCTATTATTAATCACTCCAGGATGCCCAAATCATTACAGCATGCACTACATCACCACTTAGCCCAACAGGGAGTAATATTTTATGTGTGTGTGTGTTTGTGTGTTTTGTAAGTGTACTGGATATTAAATATGTATGCACATTTTGTAGATATTATTTTTCTTTTGTACATTGCCAATTGTTCCATTATACTTTGCAGTCTGGCAGAAATACATAATGAAAATGCTAGGACTAACAAACAATGCAAGTGCTTTTGCCAAAATGTTAACAATTGCTTAAGCCTTTAACCTGTTCATGGCATTTTAGGATCATCAACACAGGAGACACATATTTGCCTTAAAGATACAGCATCTCTATGGTGAACACAGATATCAATATTCGTTATCACTTTCCTAACTGCTAGATGTACTTTTAATTCACCATTAAATATGTAAGACAGCAAGGAGGAAGCAAGCACTGGCATCTGTAATCACTATAGATTTTAATGATCTCTATGCCACAATACAGTGTGTGCCTGGTGCAGTCAGGAAATGGTAGATGTAGAGACGCAGACAAAAAAAAAAAAAATGGGCACACTTGATGGGCCACTTGGTCTTTTTTCTGCTGTCACTTTTCTATGTTTCTATCCTTTCATGGCTGTAACCCTTCACCAGAATGTAGCAAGGAATCCTTGCTTGGAAGTGGAACATTATGTATATGTTCTTATTTTAAAAAAAGAAAAAGAAAAACAAATCTAGTCACATAGGCACACCTGGGCCCCAGGTTGGAGCAGCTAAGGCTCCTAACAACTTCCACACAAAGGGATCTTCCTCCTCCCCACTTATAAAGTCATCCATTGACCTCTACTATAAAAACTGCTCCATGGAGATACGAAGATGAACAATATGAGCCTTGACATGGTTGTACTGCCCCATGAATACCAAAAAGACTAAAACCTGACTTGTAAAATTACACTTATGTAAATAATATGTGGATATAATGTGGATATAACTGGTGTTCATGTTAAAATACAAATACATCTTTTTTATTTCTTAAAACTTGTTGAAAAGTAGGATCTGTCATCAAATGAACCAACATCATGCCATCAACAGACAGTGGAAGAAACCACATCATCACAGTACCAAAGCTATGTATACAAATGTACTCCCTTAATTTCCACCTAATTGTGTGGGTACGAAAACCAGTACTGGGAGAATATAGATGATGCCAGTGCTGACTTTTGTTCTGAATCCATGACTCAGAGTATCGAAACCAGAGGCAGGCAGGAAAACCACATTTTCAGAAAAAGATCAGCAGTGTCAGCCCAGTTTTGCTCCCAATACAGGCTACTGAAAACCTAATTCAATTCAATTTTCCATAATATTCACTGATCTGCTATTAAGGACTCATTTTCTAATGAAGTAGTTTGTACCTTAGTCCATGTTCATCTAAAATACCCAATTCAGTTTTGGTAGAATAAACAACTAATGAAATTGTTTTTGATCCTGCTTGAATTTGAAGTGAATATTGGATAGTGTGTAATTATTATTAAAATAACTAGCAGGAACAAATTCTGTCTGATGCATTTCAGAAGAACAGAGAGAAAGTGCTGGGCCCAGTGCAAAAAGCTTAAGAACAGAACTTGGTCCTGTTGGCAATTTTCAGAAAGGAAGAATTTATTTTGCATCCTCGGTGTTCCTGTTGCTGATATAAGTGATTGCTTCAGTGGAGACAAGCAGAGCCAGCATATAACATTTACTATGGAGTGCAGAGTCTAACCTGGAACGGCATGTGGAATGTTAAAGTTAATCAACTTCTTTATATAGAGGCATATTTAGTTTAGGGTAAAATTACAGTTTTTATTGTGTATCGTGAGTTGAATTTTGTCCTTCTAAATTGGCTTTCTAGTGTACTTGCATCTATTTTTACCCTGCCGGGGATGCATTCAATTATAGAAATGCATGTGACCAATGGCTTATGACACTGAGCTGCAGCGCTGTGCAGAAAAATCTTTCCTGGGGCTGCAGCCCAGGTCACAAGGGGTTATGGGACATGGATGCAGACTTCAATTCTGGAACTTCTTTTAATTAAACTTCACAGCCAGGCCGATGCTGTCGCTTATTCTTAAAAAGGCAAGACTTTGTAATCCGTCCAGGCAGGATTCAGATAACTTTTCTGCCCTTGATCTCATTGTTAACAAAATCCTCATTCTCAGTCAGATTCATCTTGGCTAAATTTTACCCATTGCTTTCCACGAGGATGCTGCACAAGGGTTACGAGTGTCTCCTCTGGGATCAACAAAGTGACATGATGAAAATCTAGGACTTTCTTGATTTATTATTCATTTTATTCAATGGGGTGTTCTGATAAAAGATCATGCAACTAATATTTTTTTTATTTTCTACTCGATAACGGTATAAGAGGGAGAATTCCACACCTTATGGACCTATCTTGGAAAAGTCCCATGTCCAGCCAATTAGATCTGCTGACACCTTTTAGAGGTAGCATTACACAAAGGTAGAGTGTGCCATAATTTGAACACTACTAACAACGCAGTCACACAAGGACAAGAACACTTGTCAGATCTACTCATTTACTACTCATCTGATTTCATATTATAGGTTCTGGGTCCAGGTTGTTATCTGTTGCTTGCAGTGTAAACCTCCAGGTTAATGTACAGATTGGGTATCTTGTATGCCGTGGTAAAATATAGCAAATGTTTATTAAGTCAGTTAATTTGTATTGGCCATGCTATTGTTTGTAGAAAATGAGACGTCACATTTCTGAAATAAACTCCATGTTCAGGATTCTGCTTAGGCCTACCTATAATGAGCACATTGTGATAGAAATTTGGGTTTAGCATCTCGCTTTTTTCATAACAAGCTAGATCCCTAGCTGTAACTTTCTTCCTCTGGCTTCAGTACTTAGTAAGTAACACACTATGAACAGGTATGCTGTCACCAAAGTAAGAATTCCTGACCATACCTGTTCTAGGCTACTCTAAGTAGCAAAGCTGGAGCATGACCACAACAAGAACTTGCAACTAAGCACAGCAACACTGTAAAGTGATGCGTAAACTGTTGATGCTATAGAAAATCATCTATAATAGTAATAATATTATTAAAAATAACTCAATGATAACAACACTTACGCGTATATAGCATGGGAGGCCTCATTATAATATTATAGCATTATGACTCATTATAAGTATTAGTTTAAAAAAAGGAAAATAATAAAGTGATATACTGAGGCTGATTTACTAAAGGAGCTAAGAATATACACTCAACAAATTGAGCCAAAATTCACTTCAATTATCCAATCATAGGAAAAGCAAATTCCTGTTTTTGCTTATTTCACATACACGTGATTGGGTAGTGAGCACCTGACTACTTTAACTACCCAATCACGTGTATGTGAAATAAGTAAAAGTAGGAATTTGCTTTTCCTATGATTGGATAAATCAAGTGAAACCTAACTTATTAAGTGAAAATTCTCAACTCATTTAGAAAATCAGCAGTATTAAGTGCAAGTCAAAAGTGGACACAAGTATCTGGCTGATTGCTGAACAATGATGGATTGTTTTTGTGTACCTTATAAAAACGATTGTTGGCTAATATTAGTTATAGCAATTCATATGTTACTTTGAAGTCACTTTAATGTGTGCATCACATTTTGGGAACTGTAACATCTAATTAGCTGGTAGTGAAATCAACCACTAACTAAATTAGCAATGGTTATTATTTTGCATCTTCTAATTGTTACAGAAAACAGAGCATAGCCACCATAGACAAGGTCACCGTAATATTGATATATAATTTACCGTTTTAACAGCAATGTGTTTTGACTGATGATGTGCCTATCTATGCTTGAGTGAATCAGATAGTAGTACTATGCTGTATAACAGCCCCTTATCTTATTTGCAAACTTAGGCCAATCCATTGCCCAACATAACATTATCACAAAAGTTCAAATGCATGCCTTCCACATATCAGAATATCCTGCATACAAACAAGAAAAGAAGAAAAGAAGAACTTTGATATTGAACATTAAACCAGCTAATTTATCAGGGACAGCCATCAGCTGAGATTGTTTTTGGAAATCAGGGCCAGCTGTCTACATAACCAAATGCTGGAATGATTCAGGGGTTCATCTGATTGTCACGGCATTATGTGTCTGTGCTGCTGATAATATCCAACAGCTCTTTACAGTACACAGAAGGCTGGGTCAAGATTCACCGAGCCTTTAATAATTTCCTTTGTACAGTACAGAAGCAGCAGCATATTGGTGCAGCCCCGTTAATATAAATCAAAAAGAGTTACAGCAGAATCCATGTTTAGTGACGAAGTGTCAGAATGCGAATACAAGAACTTATGTTGCGCAGGACATTACTCCTCTTGCCAGCCCTGAGTAAATGACACCCGGCCTTTGTGGTCTTTGGGGATTTTTTTGTGTTGACTTACTTGGTTTGTCTTTGTTGGGGCCCCCGAGAAATGGCCTGTGGCTGGGGCCTTTTCTGCCAATTTCCACGCTCCATCTGTGGTATCCATTAGCAGAGTCTATACCAGCATTCAGGGCTCTGACACCTGCCTGGCAGGGAGTAGGATACACAAAGAAACTAGACTGGAAAAGGGGGAT